ATCCAATGCAAGTTTCTGAATCAACCCTCCAATTAGCCTAAACATTAAGACACCGCCATTTTTGTTGAGCTGTATAATGAATGCATATGCTATGGGGCTTCCTTAGTATTGCACCACACTTCATTAACACAATTGTGCCAATTCACCAATTCATGTTCTCACGATTGTACTTCCCTATTCCCACATAACCGCGCCTTCCTGCATTATTTCTGTTTCTGAATTTTTAATTCCATCTTGTAATAGCCTTTTGCAAAAAATTCCAGCATTTTGCAAAAAGACATAAAGGTAAAGGTAGTCCCCTGACATTAAGTCCAGTTATGTCTGACTCTGGAGTGTGGTGCTCATCTTTATTTCTAAGCCAAAGAGCCAGTGTTGTCCGTAGACACCTCAAAGGTCATGTGGCCAGCATGACTGCATGGAGCGCCATTACCTTCCCGCCGGAGCAGTACCTATTGATCTACTCACATTTGCATGTTTTCGAACTGCTAGGTTGGCAGAAGCTAGGGCTGACAGCGGAAGCTCAGGCCACTCCCCAGAATCGAACCTGCGACCTTTCACTCACTTTAACCCACTGCGCCACCGGGGGCTCATACACATAATAAAAGTGAAAAATATGTATGTGTATGTGACAGAGGTATCCATTTACACAGATAGCCTCCGGCCTCCACAAATAGGCTCTAGTTCAGTGGTTCTCAACCTTTCTAACACCGTGACTCCTAAATATGGTTTCTCATGTTGTGGTGACCCCCAACCATAAAATTATTTTTGAGAGCGCGAGGCAGACAAGGGAGGCTTTGCGAGAGGCCAGGCCTCATGCGAAGGAGCCCTTGCCTGGCTCTCGCATGATTTGAAAGTCTTGAGGGACGGGGACCAAAGTCTTGGGGGCCAAAGGAGGTGGCCTCACGACCCCTCCGAAATGGCCAAATGACCCCTTTGGGGGTCGCGACCTCCAGGTTGAGAACCACTGCTCTAGTTCCAAGTGCTGAGAAGCCTCCAAAGGCACTCCACTGACATTGCAGGTTATAGTGAGCGCCATGAACATGTAGCTCAAACGCTGCTGAAGCCCCTCAAGTTCCCCCCCCCCCCGGCTACATGCCTGTTGCTCCCTCCTTCCTGTGACTTCCTCTCACATATTTATACATGGCTATCATATCTCCTCTCAGCCTTCTCTTCTTCATGCTAAACATGCTCAGCTCCTTAAGCCGCTCCTCATAGGGCTGGTTCTCCAGACGCTTGATCATTTTAGTCGCCCTCCTCTGGACACATTCCAGTTTGTCAATATCTCTCTTGAATTGTGGTGCCCAGAATTGGACACAATATTCCAGGTGTGGTCTAACCAAGGCGGAATAGAGGGGTAGCATGACTTCCCTAGATCTAGACACTATGCTCCTATTGATGCAGGCCAAAATCCCATTGGCTTAGTTTTGGCCCATTTCTCGACTCTGTCAGGATCGTTTTGAATCCTGCTCTTGTCCTCTGGAGTATTGGCTATCCCTCCCAATTTGGTGTCGTCTGCAAACTTGATAATCATGCCTTCTAGCCCTTCATCGGAGTCATTAATAAAGATGTTGAACAGGACGAGGCCCAGATAACCTAGATTCAGAATTTGGACTGTATGGCAGTGTAGACCTATCCTCACAATATTCCATAGCATTGAACTGTGGCAGCTCAAGTGGTGTTGAGTAGTACCCACGCTACAGTGCAGACAGATGGACCCTTAGCCTCTGCAAATAGATAGAGGAAGTCGGATAGGAAACTGTGCAATAATCAGCAAGGGAGGGGAATTTCCTCTAAGGTTGGACATACACACACAAACATGTTTTCCCGAGCAATAGACCATGCTGTGTGGCCTATGAGAGAGCAAGAGTTTTTGATGTCACAATCGATTTGTAGATTTCCAGATGAAGCAGATTTTATAAGGATGCAAGAAAGCAGATAGGCTGGGCAAGACTCCATAGTGTTGCAGAGTTATAGAGTTGGAACGGACTTGATGAGCCATTGAGTCCAACCCCCAGCACAATGTGGATTAATCCAGAGTAAATCATCACTTCTGCTCCCCCCCCCCCTCTGGCTACATCCACATGGCAGACTTGATGCAATGTATTGTCAAAGGCTTTCATAGCTAAAATCACTGGGTTGTAGGTTTTTTCGGGCTATATGGCCATGGTCTAGAGGCATTCTCTCCTGACGTTTCGCCTGCATCTATGGCAAGCATCCTCAGAGGTAGTGAGGTCTGTGACAGACCTCACTACCTCTGAGGATGCTTGCCATAGATGCAGGCGAAACGTCAGGAGAGAATGCCTCTAGACTATAGCCATATAGCCCGAAAAAACCTACAACAACCCAGACTTGATGCACTTTGACACCATTTTAAATGCAATGGCTAAATGCAATGGATCTTTGGACCATAATAAAGATTGACTGACAATGGAGAGATTGGAATTATAGTTCTACAAGATCCTTATTCTTCCCTGCCAAAGAGTGCTGGTGCCTCGCCAAACTACAACTCCCATGATTTCACAGCAATGAAGTCATGACAAACGTTTACCCTTATCTCTACAAACAATGGATGTCTAGAAGTTCATCAGCTGCTGGATATCCAGGAATGGGCCTTTCTTATAGTGGCCAAAGTATAAATGTACTTTAGGGACTACAATTCCTAGAATCCTCCAGCCAGCATGGTTTGTGGCTTTGGATAAAACCTTCCATTAGCAATGTCATCACAGAATCATAGAATCAAAGAGTTGGAAGGGACCTCATGGGCCATCCAGTCCAACCCCTTGCCAAGAAGCAGGAATATTGCATTCAAATCACCCCTGAGAGATGGCCATCCAGCCTCTGTTTAAAAGCTTCCAAAGAAGAAGCCTCCACCACACTCCGGGGCAGAGAGTTCCACTGCTGAATGGCTCTCACAGTCAGGAAGTTCTTCCTCATGAAATGGCCAAGCTTGGGGGTTTCTCCAGGGTCGCCCCTTCAGCATTTTGGGGGGCTCTGATCAAAGGCAGTTAGACTGCTGTGCCTGTCTTCCTTTCTTTTCATTCTTGGGTGCCTTCTGCCTTTTACTATTGCTTACTATCACAAAGAGAAGAGTCAAAAGACCTTGGGCAAGTTGCACTCTCTCAGCCTCAGAGGAAGGCCAAGTGCCAAGAAAACTAAGAGATAGGCTTGCCTCATTGTAATTGCCATGTGCCTTCACCTCGTTTCCATCTTATGGAGACTCAAAGGCAAACCTATCATGGTATGGCAAGATTTGTTCAGCAGGAGCTGGCCTTTGCCTTCCTCAGAGGTTGAGAGAGTGTGACTTGAGCTTGCCATGGCCAAGCAGGGGTTTGGACCCTGTTCTCCAAAGCTGTGGGTCAAAACCCAAACCACAAGGCAGCCCAAAGTTGGAGAAAACTTGAAGCCAGATAACAATGACCTTGAAAAAGAGAGTGCTGAAAGGAAGGAGGGGAAGGAAGGAAGAACAAAAGAAAGAAGGAAAGAAGGGAGGGAGGGAAAGGGGGGGAGGGAAAAAGGAAGGGAGGGAGAAAAAAGAAAAGGAGGAGATGGTGAAAGAGAGACAAAAGGAAAGGAAAGGAAAGGAAAGGAAAGGAAAGGAAAGGAAAGGAGAAAAGGAAGGAGGAAGAAGGAAGGAAAGGAAGGAAGGAAGAAGAGGCAAAATGAGGGGAAGGTAAGAAGAGAGGGAAGAAAAGGAGGGAGAAAAAAGGAAGGAATGGAGGAAGGAAAGAAAGAAAGCAAAAAGGGAGGAGGAGAAAGGGGAAAGAAGGAAGAGGAGGAGACAAAACAGAAGGGAAAAGGAAGGAAAGAAAGAAGGCTGGAGAAGGGAAGGAAGAAAGAAGAGGGAGGAGGAAAGAAGGGAGAGAGAAAAAGCAAGGAATGGAGGGAGTGAGAAGGAAGAAGGAATGAAGAAGAAAGAAAGAGGGAGGAAGGATGGAAGAAATCAAGGAAGGAATGGAGGTGAGGGAAGGAAGAAAGAAAAAAAGAAGAAGAAAAGGGAAGGAAGGAAAAGAAGGAGAAAGAAAGGAGAAAGAAAGGAGGAAAAGAAGGAAGGAAACAAGAAGGATGGAGGAGAAAAAGAAAGAAGGAAGAAAAAGGAAAAGGAAAGAAAAAAGAAGGAGGAAGGAGAAGGAAGAAAGAAAGAAAAGAGGGAAGAAGAAAAAAGGGAGAAAAAAGCAAGGCAGGGAGGGAGGGGAGGAAGGAAGGAGACAAAAAAGGAAAGAAAGAAAGAAGGAAGGAAGGCAGCAGAAGGGAATGAAAGAAAGAAAAGAGGGAAGAAGAAAAGAAGGGATAAAAAAGCAAGGCAGGGAGGGAGGGAGGGAGGGAGGGAGGAAGAAAAAAGAAAAGAAGAGAGGGAGTAAAAAAGGTGAAGAAGGAAGGAAGGAAGGAAAAGAGGGAGGAAGGAAGGAAGGAAAAAGGAAGGAATGGAAATGAGGGAAGGAAGGACTGAAAGAAAGAAAGAAAAAGAGGAAGGAAGAAAAGAAGAGAGAAAAAAGGAAGGGATTGAGGGAGGAAAAGAAAGAAAGTAAGAAGGGAGGGAGAAAAAAGAAAAGAAGAGAGGGAGGGAGGGAGGGAGGGAGGGAGAAAAGGAGGGAGAAAGGAAGGAATGGAGAGAGGGAGAGAACCAACAAAGCAAGAAGGAATGGAGAAAGGGAGAGGGAGAGAAGGAGGGAGAGAAAGGGAAGGAAGGGAAGAGTGGAGGGAGAACAACTTCCCTGCTTTGCTTGGGAAGGAGGAGGCAGCTCTTCCCCTGTTTGAGTGGGAAGGTTAGACAAAAGGAGGATTAACCAGATGAGATCATTCCAGTCCCAGACTGGGGTGAGATCACGAGAAAACCCGACCTCTAAACCATCCCGAAAGAGGGGGGATGCATCATTGGGGACCAGGAAGCTCTCTTTTGCAGGCCAGGCCTCCACTTCCGCCCCTCTTTGGTGTCAGCCTGCAGCAGTGACATCACCCCCATCACCACCACCACCATCCCCAAAAGGAAGGCAGGTCCTCACCTGTGCATTCCCGGGTGAATTCCTCATAATCCACACCGTGGTGCCCGGGGACGATGGTGGCTCCGTCGTACTTGAACGTGACCCTTGGAAAGAGACGGGGAAACCATTCAATGGAGAACAAGAGACAAACAAGACCAAAGAGGGAGAGATCACAAAGTAACCGAAGCAAAGTGAAGTTGATAAGATACATTTTCTTTGGGAAGGGGATACTTTCAATTGGTAGGAAGTAAAGCAAGAAAACAGTGTGACACCAGGAGTGTCTTTGTATAGATTGGAATGCATTCTTGAAGCATGGATTGTTTTATTTATTATTATTATTAACTTTATTTATACTGCCGACGTTGGGGCTTGTCTGATGTCCTTGGGGAGAGAGTTCCAGAGTCGGGGGGCCACCACAGAGAAGGCCCTGTCCCTCGTCCCCACCAAACACGCTTGCGACGCAGGTGGGATCGTGAGCAGGGCCTCTCCAGATGAACGGAGAGATCATGTGGGTTCGTATACGGAGATGCGGTCACGCAGGTAGGTGGGTCCCAAACCATTTAGGGCTTTGTAGGTAAGCACCTGCACCTTGTATTGGGACCGGAAAATGAATGGCAGCCAATGGAGCTCCTTAAACAGGAGGGTTGACCTCTCTCTGTAAGGAGCACCAGTTAACAACCTGGCCGTCGCCCGTTGGAGCAATTGAAATTTCTGAACCGTTTTCAAGGGCAGCCCCACGTAGAGCGCATTGCAGTAGTCCAATCTGGAGGTGACCAAGGCATGGACCACCCTGGCCAGATTTTAGCTTGCATCTACACTCTAGTGTGAATGCAGTATGGCACCGCTTTAAATGCCATGGTTATGGAATTGTGGGATTTGTAGTTTTGTGAGGCACCAACACTCTATGCTTGAGAACACGAAACTACAAATCCCATGATTCAATAGCATTGAGCCAGTTTAATTTTTAAACTGTCACATTTGGCCCGGCCATTGGTTTTTAAATCCTTGTGTGTTACTGTTTATTGGTTATTGTTTATATGTGATTGTTATTAATTGTATTGTATTTATTGTTTTTGTTTATTGATGTACTGTTGGGCTTGGCCTCGTGTAAGCCGCTCCGAGTCCCTTGGGGAGATGGTGGCGGGGTATAAATAAAGTTATTATTATTATTATTATTATTATTATTATTATTATTATTATTATTATTAAGTGGCGTCAAATTGCATGGATTGCACTCTCAGGCCCCATCTACATTATCATATGATGCAGTTTGAAACTACTCGCAGTTTCTCAAGACGCTTCTGAAACACACAATAAAGTGCTTGAAACTGTATTATATGGTCAGTGTAGACTCATTATAATCTAGTTTGAATGGCAGTGAACTGCCTCGTATGCCTCAAACAGGCTAGATAGGACCTGTGTGTGTGTCTATGTGCATGAGCCATTTCTCTTAACACACAAATGCTTGCTCACTGTCACAATGGACATAGTAAAAGCCACAGGAAGGATTACCAAGCCGGCTTTTTCCGTCAGGCAGGCAGGCAGGCATGGAGTGAGGCGGCCGCCTCGGGCAAGTCATTTTGTGTGTCGCCTGCCATTTGTTCTTTCACTTACTCTTGCTTGCCATATTATTTTTAACTGCCAGAGAGGGCAGGGATGTGTCACCAGTCCCTGTTTAATAAAAGCCTTGCATGCAAAAATAAAATAAAAATGAAATAAAACCATATAATTTGCAACCTAAACCAAATTTACAAACAAAACCCTGACCACTTTGAGTTAAAAGCAGAAAGCTGGATATAAATAAATATAAATATAATAATAAAATAAATAATATAATAAATATAGTATCATAATATCATAAAATAAAAATAAGAATACAATAAATATAATAATGTAATCTATACATATAATAAAAGTCAAAGTTTGTATGCGGAGGACAAAAGTGTGGCGGTGCAGCGGGAGGAGTATGTGCCAGCTTTCTGATTGGCTGCCACTGTGGTGCTATTTGCATATGGTCTCTGATTGGCCAGCCTGAAAGTTCCAAGATTCCGATTGGCTGCCACTGTGGTACGATTTGCATATGGTCTCTGATTGGCCACCCTGAACATTCCGAAGCAGCAAAGGGAACAGGAAAGGGGCCTGAAGCTGTCAGGAATGGTTGGAGTTGAAGTCCAAAACACCTTGTGGCCCCCAACAATGACAGAACAAGACCAAATCTGGCACACAGACCCGCCCCCCGCAATACCCACTCAACATCCTGGTGCAGTTTGAGCGAGGATGACGGGACTTGCAGTACTTGAACTCACTACCTTAGAGCACTGTGGCCCACACCAATGACAGATCAGGACCAAACTTGGCACACAGAGGCCCAATGGCCCACTTTAAAACCTGGTGCGGTTCAAGGCAGGATGGGCCACTAATGATGGGATTTGCAGTACCTTTACCCGATTCACTTCCCACAGATCATTGTAGCCCCTACAAATCACAGACCAGGCCCAAACTTGACACACAGAGTACTCATGGCCCCCTCTACATCCTGATGCAGTTCTAAGGGGGATGGCCCATGCATGACGGGACTTGCAGTATCTTTACTCACTTACTGAAACCACTGCGACCCTCATCCAATGACCAATAATGACCAAATTGGCACACAGAGCCCCCATGACCCACTCTACATCCTGCTGCAGTTTGGAGGAGGGTTGACCATGGATGATGGGACTTGCAGTACCTTCACTCACTTACTGAAACCACTGCGACCCTGAACCAATGACTGATCAAGACCAAACTTGGCACACAGAGCCCCCATGACCCTATCTACATCCTGCTGCAGTTTGAAGGAGGATGGACTTTGGATGATGGGACATGCAGTACCTTCACTCTTACTGAAACCCCTGCCACCCTCATCCAATCAGTACCTTCACTCACTTACTGAAACCACTGCGACCCTGAACCAATGACTGATCAAGACCAAACGTGGCACACAGAGCCCCCATGACCCACTCTACATCTTGCTGCAGTTTGAAGGAGGATGGACCATGGGTGATGGGACTTCAAGTACCTTCACTCACTTCCTGAAAACAATGCAACTGTCAGCCAATGTCCAATAATGACCAAACTTGGCATACAGAACTGCCATTACCCACTTTCTCTAACCCGGGCAGCGCTGGGTCCCCAAGCTAGTAGTATAATAAAAATAAGACTGCAATAAATATAATAAAATAATACTTAACATAATAATCAAACCTTAAACCCTAAGCACTTTGATTCTCCTTTAAGAGAGGAATGCTGGATATCAATAAATATAATAATCAATAAATATAATATAATACTATATAATAACATAATATAGTATAATAAAAATAAGACTACAATAAACATAATAAAATAATTAACTAATATAATGAATATACTTAACATAATAATCAAACCTTAAACCCTAAGCACTTTGATTCTCCTTTAAGAGAGGAAAGCTGGATATAAATAAATATAATAATTAATAAATATAATATAATACTACATAATAACATAATATAGTATAATAAAAATAAGACTACAATAAACATAATTAAATAATTAACTAATATAATGAATATACTTAACATAATAATCAAACCCTAAACCCTAAGCACTTTGATTCTCCTTTAAGAGAGGAAAGCTGGATATGAATAAATATGAACAATCAATAAAACAAATATAATAATGTATTCTCGAAGGCTTTCATGGCCGGAATCACTGGGTTGTTGTAGGTTTTTCCGGGCTATATGGCCATGTTCCAGAGGCATTTTCTCCTGACGTTTCGCCTGCGTCTATGGCAAGCATCCTCACTACCTCTGAGGATGCTTGCCAGAGACGCAGGTGAAACGTCAGGAGAAAATGCCTCTAGAACATGGCCATATAGCCTGGAAAAACCTACAACAACCCAAATATAATAATAATATAATAATATAATTGTATAGCTGGGGGGGGGGGGGCAAGGGTGGGCTGCAAGTCCTTTAGGGCAAAAAACATTGCATGCAAAAAATAAGTAGAATAATCCAAACCCTAAGCACTTTGATTCTCTTTGATTTCCCGAGAGGAAAGCTGGGTATAATTAAATATAATAATATAATAAATAATATATGTATAATATAATAAATAAAATAAAAAACAAATGTAATAGTATAATAGTATAATTAATATATAATATAAGTACTATAAAATATATTATAATATATAATATATAATAAATATAATATAATAAATGAAATAATTAAAACAAATATAATATATACAAAAATGTAATAAATATAAAAAATACCTTAAGTACTATAAAATATAATATAATATATAATAAATATAAAATAATAAATGAACTAAATAAAACAAATATAATAATAAATACAAAAATGTAATAAATATAAAATATAACTTAAGTACTATAATAAATATAATAGTAATATAGTAACATAAGTAATATAATAATGAATATAATAATATAATGCATATAATAAAAATAAATCAAACAAATATGATAATAAATATGATAATGTAATTAATATAATAATAATATAATTAATATAGTAATAAATATAATAACACAATACAACAAAAATAATGGAATAAATATAATAATAAAATAGAATAAATATACTAGAATAAATATAATACATATAATATTATAACTATAATAATAGCATAATTAAAATAATGATATAATCAATGTAATAATATAATATAATATAATAATAACGATGTTATTATATAACATAAGTAATATAATAATGAATATAATATAATGCATATAATAAAAATAAATAAAAAATATGATAATAAATATGATAATGTCATTAATATAATAAGTAATATAATTAATATAGTAATACATATAATAATATAATACAACAAATATAATAGAATAAATATAATAATAAAATATAATAAATATACTAGAATAAATATAATACATATAATATTATAACTATAATAATTATTCATTCGTTCAGTCGTCTCCGACTCTTTGTGACCTCATGGACCAGCCCACACCAGAGCTCCCTTTCGGCCGTCACCACCCCCAGCTCCTTCACTATAATAATAACATGATTAAAATAATGATATAATCAATGTAATAATATAATATTTATTTATTTATTATTTGAACTTATATGCCGCCACTCCCCTGGGGCTCGGAGCGGCTTAATTAAATAATAATAATAATAATAATAATAATGCCCCTTGATTTTGAGATGGGAAGAAAGCCTTTTCCCCAGTGCTTCGGGGAATCTCTTTGCCTGGCCTGGTGGGATCACCAATTCTTCCCACCCTTATTAGGCTACTAAAAGCCCATCTGGGGCTACTGCGTGGGCCACTGGTCACTCCTCAACGTCCTTCTCAAACAATGCCATGCAAAGGCTTTCCCAAAGTGCCTTGTGTTGAGGTGCTAATATTATAACTATAATGATAACATAATTAAAATAATGATATAATCAATGTAATAATAATAATAATAATAATAATAATAATAATAATAATAATAATAATAACAATGCCCCTTGACTTTGAGATGGGAAGAAAGCCTTTTCCCCAGTGCTTCGGGCAGCCAAATCTCTTTGCCTGGCCTGGTGGGATCACCAATTCTTCCCACCCTTATTAGGCTACTAAAAGCCCATCTGGGGCTACTGCGTGGGCCACTGGTCACTCCTCAACGTCCTTCTCAAACAATGCCATGCAAAGGCTTTCCCAAAGTGCCTTGTGTTGAGGTGCTAATATTATAACTATAATGATAACATAATTAAAATAATGATATAATCAATGTAATAACATAATAATAATAATAATAATAATAATAATAATAATAATAACAACAACAATGCCCCTTGACTTTGAGATGGGAAGAAAGCCTTTTCCCCAGTGCTTCGGGCAGCCAAATCTCTTTGCCTGGCCTGGTGGGATCACCAATTCTTCCCACCCTTATTAGGCTACTAAAAGCCCATCTGGGGCTACTGCGTGGGCCACTGGTCACTCCTCAACGTCCTTCTCAAACAATGCCATGCAAAGGCTTTCCCAAAGCGCCTTGTGTTGAGGTGCTAATATTATAACTATAATGATAACATAATTAAAATAATGATATAATCAATGTAATAACATAATATAATAATAATAATAATAATAATAATAATAATAATAATAATAACAATGCCCCTTGACTTTGAGATGGGAAGAAAGCCTTTTCCCCAGTGCTTCGGGCAGCCAAATCTCTTTGCCTGGCCTGGTGGGATCACCAATTTTTTTCACCCTTATTGGGCTACTAAAAGCCCATCTGGGGCTACTGGGTGGGCTACTGGTCACTCCTCGATGTTCTTCTCAAACAATGCCATGCAAAGGCATTCCCAAAGCGCCTTGTGTTGAGGGGCGTGCCGATGCTGATCCTGCAACCCTGGACCCTTGTCCTCCAAAGCACCTTCTTTGCATCATCCATCCATTCATTCCTTCATTCATTCCTTCACCCCCTTCCTTTTCCAATGACCCAAAATGAAACAAGGTAAGAGGGCTTGGCCTTACCAATTGGCCTCTGTGCTGTCATCCCGGACCAGGTTGTAGGCTTCTCGACAGGCCTCTTTGTCGATTTTGGTGGCCATGGTGCCTTGTTGAAGCAGCTTCTTCTCCCTGGGAGGCCAGGTGCCAAGAAGACAAGGAAGGCAAGAGAAAGGGCGGAAGAGGAAAAGAAAGGAGGCAATGTGCAGCCTGGTCTGGTGGAGCTCTTGTTGCAAAACACCCTCAGATCAGAACAAGGAGAGAATCATCCACGGTGGCTTTTCCTGCAGAAGATCTAGACAGGTCGGAGGAGATGTGGGGTCCAGATCCAAAGGGAAAGAAGTGGGTGTGGATGGAAGGAAGGAAGGAAGGAGAAAAAGAGAAGGCTGATCATTAGTCTGCAGCCTCCTCCTCCTCCTCCTCCTGCGGCTGCAGTTGGTCACACTCAAGTGATCTGTCACCCACTGAGTGAGCAAATCCAGATTAACCCCTTCCTTCACTGCAAAGGACTCAACCCAGCTCCTTGCAAAGGTTCTTGGACCAAAAGAGGGAAGGGAACAGGCTTCTCTCTCACTCTCTTTCTCTCTTCTCTGCTCCTTCTCTCATCTACTTGAAAAATATAAGAATGAGAATGATGCTAATGGTGGGAAGTATCTCTCCCTCCCCACCAACCCCTCTCCTGGAAGCAAGTTGGTCTTTTCCTCGCAACCGCCCACTCCCTCCCCAGCTCTTTCTTCTCTGTTCTGGGCAGCATTGCCAGGATTTCTGTGGGATGAGGCCATGCGCCGCCTTGCCTTTTCTTTCTTTCTTTCTTCCTTTCTTTCTTTCTCTCTTTCTTTCTCTTTCTTTCTTTCTTTCTCTCTCTCTCTCTCTCTCTCTTTCTTTCTTTTTCTCTTTTTTCTTTCTCTCTTTCTCTCTCTCTTTCTTTCTTACTCTCTTTCTTTCTCTCTTTCTTTCTCTCTCTATTTCTTTCTTTCTCTCTCTCTTTCTTTCTTTCTTTCTCTCTTTCTTTCTTACTCTCTTTCTTTCTTTCTCTCTTTCTTTCTTACTCTCTTTCTTTCTTTCTCTCTTTCTTTCTTACTCTCTTTCTTTCTTTCTTTCTCTCTTTCTTCCTCTCTATCTCTCTTTCTTTCTTTCTTTCTTTCTTTCTTTCTTTCTTTCTTACTCTCTTTCTTTTCTCCCTTTCTTTCTTTCTCTCTGCATCTTTTACAAAAAGGGGGTGTCTTGGAAGCACTGTGTGGGCTTGCAAGGGGAGAGGAAGAGGGAAGAATAGAGAGAGAGAGGAGAGAGAGAAAGGTTAGATAGATACACAGAGAGAGATTAGATAGATAGATCAGACAGAAAGACAGACACATGATAGACAGATAGAAATAGATTGATAGAGATAGATTGATCTCTGCTTGGTCAGGCAGAAAGTCAGATAGATGATAGATCAGACCAGACATATGAAAAATAGATCAACCAATAGACAGACAGACAGACAGATAGACAGATAGATCAGACTGGAAATATGAAAAATAAATAAACCAGTAGACTGATAGATAGATGATAGATAGATAGATAGATATACAGATGATAGACAGATGATCAATCAAACTGGAAATACGAAAAATAAATAAACCAGTAGGCAGATAGATAGATAGATAGATAGATAGATGATAGATCAGCCTGGAAAGATGAAAAATAAATAAACCAATATAGATAGATAGATAGATAGATAGATAGATACTCTGATCTATCATCTATCTATCTATCTATCTATCTATCTATCTATCTATCTATGTATGTATTTATCTATCTATAGATTGATAGGGTTGTCCACACCTGAGGTGATCTCTTGAACCTTTTGCCGCAGGGTTCCGTCCTGGGCCCGGTCCTGTTCAACATCTTTATTAATGACTTAGATGAAGGGCTAGAAGGCATGATCATCAAGTTTGTAGACGACACCAAATTGGGAGGGAGAGCCAATACTCCAGAGGACAGGAGCAGGATTCAAAACGATCTTGACAGATTAGAGAGATGGGCAAAAACTAACAAAATGAAGTTCAACAGTGACAAATGCAAGATACTCCACTTTGGCAGGAAAAACGAAATGCAAAGATACAGAATGGGACAATGCCTCAAGAGGAGTACGTGTGAAAAATATCTTGAGGTCCTCGTGGACAACAAGTTAAATATAGCCAACAATGTGATGTGGCGGCAAAAAAAGCCAATGGGATTTTGGCCTGCATCAATAGGAGCATAGTGTCTAGATCTAGGGAAGTCATGCTACCCCTCTATTCCGCTTTGGTTAGACCACACCTGGAATATTGTGTCCAATTCTGGGCACCACAATTCAAGAGAGATATTGACAAGCTGGACTGTGTCCAGAGGAGGGTGACTAAAATGATCAAGGGTCTGGAGAACAAGCCCTATGAGGAGCGGCTTAAAGAGCTGGGCATGTTTAGCCTGAAGAAGAGAAGGCTGAGAGGAGATATGATAGCCATGTATAAATATGTGAGAGGAAGCCACAGGGAGGAGGGAGCAAGCTTGTTTTCTGCTTCCCTGGAGACTAGGACGCGAAACAATGGCTTCAAACTACAAGAGAGGAGATTCCATCTGAACATGAGGAAGAACTTCCTGACTGTGAGAGCCGTTCAGCAGTGGAACTCTCTGCCCCAGAGTGTGGTGGAGGCTCCTTCTTTGGAAGCTTTTAAACAGAGGCTGGATGGTCATCTGTCAGGGGTGCTTAGAATGCAATATTCCTGCTTCTTGGCAGGGGGTTGGACTGGATGGCCCATGAGGTCTCTTCCAACTCTTTGATTCTATGATTCTATCATTCCATCTATCTATCAGTCTATTGGTTTATTTATTTTTCATATTTCCAGGCGGATCTGTCTCTCTGTCTGTCTGTCTATTGGTTTATCTACTGGTATTTTTCATATTTCCAGGGAGATGGAGGCGGGGTATAAAAATCAAGTTTTTCTTCCTTTTCTTCTTCTTCTTCTTCTTCTTCTTCTTCTTCTTCTTCTTCTTCTTCTTCTTCAATAGATTGATCGATCGATGATAGACAGATGATAGATCACACTGGACATATGAAAAATAGATAGACCAATAGATAGACAGACAGATAGCTAAATCAGACAAATGATATATAGGTAAGGAGATAGGTAGACCGATAGATGATAGACAGACAAACAGATAGATCTGATAGACAGACAGATCAGACACTAGATAAATAGATACACCAATTGATTGATTGGTTGATTGATCAGACAGATAGTTTGGCAAACATACAGAAGATCAGACAGAACAGATTGGACACCTGATAAAAAAAGATAGCCCAATAAATATATATTGATGATAGAAATATCAGGCACGTGATAAAAAGATCAGTCAGATGATAGATCAGACTGGACATATGAAAAATAGATAGTTGGAGAGATGACAGATCAGATAAACTATATATAGGTAAGTACTAAGTAGATACGTAGACAGAGAGATGATAGACAGACAAATAGATAGATCAGACAGGCAGACAGACAGATCAGACACTAGATGAATAGATACACCAATAGATAGACAGGTTGATTGATCAGACAGTCAAGCAAACATACAGATGATCAATTAATAGATCAGATATAACAGGCAGATTGGACACATGATAAAAAAGATAAACCAATAAATATATATTGGTGATTGAAAGATCAGGCACATGATAGGTAGATCAATAGATAGATATTGATCAGACAAGTGATAGATGGATAGATTAGACAAAAAGACCGAATGGCAATATTTTTGAATGAAGCCAAATACAACATAGGGCACATTTTGTGTTGGTCCCTAATCAGCACTTTGGGAACTAGAACTTCCAGAATCCATATCCATCCAAGTTGGTCAGGGGATTCTGGGAGTTGTAGTTTTTTTTTAGAAAAAGGAACATTATGAATGTATTGATTTATATTACAAAAAAATGAAAATTATGAGAATTTAAAAAAGTAACATTCCCAAAAGTGTCAGCCAATTGTGGGTGTCGTTTTGTCCTTTTGTGTTGATTATGCAAATGGCGCCATGGCATGCGTGTGTGTATGCGCGCCCACGCTTTCCCACAGCCGTGTGTTTCGCCTTGGATCTGTGCCTGGCCTTTCCTTTGCTGGCCTTTGGCTGGCGTGGAGAAGTTACTATGGCAACTTCCCAATTCCTGGCAAAAGCGAGGCACGACTTTGCAGAAGGGTCCAATGGTGCACATGCAAAGAACAGAGGAGGAGCCCTTGCTTTGTGCAGAAAGCCTTGCATCCTGGCCCTGAATGGCACCTCCTTCTCATAGGTTTGCATCATTGGTTGTGCACGGAGGGACCTCTGCCATGCTTTCAATGCAAAAATGCAATTCTTTGGAAGTGATGCCAGAACAGGCATGGGCCAACTTTGGCCCTCCAGGTGTTTCGGACTACAACTCCCACAATTCCTAACAGCCTACCGGCTGTTAGGAATTGTGGGAGTTGCAGTCCGAAACACCTGGAGGGGCCAAGTTGGCTCATGGTTGCTACACTGTAAAATTATTGCAGTTTGGCACCACTTTAAGTGCCATGATTCAAGGCTATGAGGTCCCGGGAGTTGTAGTGTTCCGTAGCAGTTAAAGTGGTGTCAAACTGCATTCATTGCACACTCTAGATCAAGGGTTTGTCAAACCTTTTCAGCCATGGAGCCCTTTTCAAAGCAAAAGTTTCTCATGGAGCCCCAAGAAATGATCTGAACATGAGGAAGAACTTCCTGGCTGTGAGAGCCGTTCAGCAGTGGAACTCTCTGCCCCGGAGTGTGGTGGAGGCTCCTTCTTTGGAAGCTTTTAAGCAGAGGCTGGATGGCCATCTGTCAGGGGTGATTTGAATGCAATATTCCTGCTTCTTGGCAGGGGGTTGGACTGGATGGCCCATGAGGTCTCTTCCAACTCTTTGATTCTATGATTCTATGGTATATTATATTTATATAATATATGTGTGTGTGTGTGTGTATATGTATGTATATGTGTGTGTGTGTGTGTGTATACCTTCCTTGCTTAGTTTCCAATATACCTCATAACCTCTGAGAATGTCTGCCATAGATGTAGGCAAAACGCCAGGAGAGAATGCTTCTGGAACATGGCCAGACAGCCCAAAAAACTTACAGCAACCTTGGCTAAAATTGTTCTTCATTTTAAATTTTGCATCTCTCTCCCCCCACCTCTCTCTTTCTATTGCACTATGTAAGTAAGTTTACACAAACACTTTCCATCAATCTGCCACCGGCCCAACCCCTGCCTGATAGATAAATAGATAGATATTTACATATATATACACACACACACACATTCTAGTTATTTATTTATTTAGAAGTTTTCTATACCGGCCTTCTCACCTCAACGAGGGACTCAGGTCGGTTTACAGCATATATAAAAGTACAATCATATATAAGTACAACAAAGTGCAAACTCATTACTTATTAAAATAGTACAATAAAGTACAATCTATCTATCTATCTATCTATCATCTACCTACCTATCTATCTATCTATCTATCTATCTATCTTTGGAAGCTTTTAAACAGAGGCTGGATGGCCATCTGTCAGGGGTGATTTGAATGCAATATTCCTGCTTCTTGGCAGGGGGTTGGACTGGATGGCCCATGAGGTCTCTT